CAAACTTTGGAGAAAAAACTTGAAAAGTGCTTTCCCCATTTTTGAATGGTCACCATTGGTACATAATGCAACAAAGATTGCTAAAGTCAACAGATTTTACTAACAGACCTACCAATCTCTGTGTAAAAATAATATTATGATGCTGCCATCTTTCTGAAGTCATTTTTACATCCCTGTAATTTGACTCTGAATCTCAGGTGAAAATTGCCATTTTGACCCCACCTCTACAAAAAAGCGGATTTCTCCGTAAATATTCATCCATGACATTTAATATTTTGGCTTTCATCACTATACATGTCTATCTCTCATCAGAAAAAATATTAGCAACATCAAAAATGTACATTATTTTTAAAAAAAAATCAGCTTGTTGTAATTGTTTAAACTAAAACTCAATACAAATTACATGGACATTAAAAATGACAAACACAATAATAATGACATATTAAAAAATATAAAAATGACAAACAAAATTATTAAAACATTAATAAAAAAACAATATAAATGAAAATAAAATGCAAAAATGCAGACGTTTTATTACAGCTAGTTGCAAATATATAGACATTTAATAAATTACAAATGAAAAATAAAATAAGTGACAAACATGACAAAATTACTAAAGCTTCAGCTGAAATTAAAATGAAAACTGAAAATATAAAAATAAAATCCAGTTCAAAATATTAAAAATAAAAACAAAAAAGTTAACCTTTTATTTCAGCTAGTTGCAAAGGCAGCATTTTTTTTTTTTTTTAGTTTAAGTTAATGTACTAAAATAACTAAAACTCCATAATTAAATATGTAGACATTTTTGAAAAAAAAAAAAAAAAGTATAAAAATAAATCTAATTAAAAAAATAATAATAATAGTGTATCAATGGTAAAAAAAAAAGCACTTCTAATAGCCAGGCCATTAATTATTTAGTTAATTTTTAATTGGTTTAAATTTAGAAGCAGGTTTATCTGAATTAGTTGAGAGCAAAATAACAGAATAAATAATTCAAACTCCTTTGAATTTGATGTGGCCATACAGACTTTTTTATTTTATTTTATTTTATTTTATTTTATTTTATTAAAACATCAAGCATGATAAACAAGTTGAGAAAGTAACACAAAATTACCAGAAATATGTGTAGATTTTAATTAGAATTTCTGTCTGTCCAAAAGTATAATTATTTCAGAGTATTCGTTTCCGCTCATGGATAATGTAATTGCAAAGTGCCTCAAACTGAGCTGTGACTCTCAGAAGCATTCATTAAATCAGCTTCGATTATGACTGGATTAATGCTTTCTATCAGCTCTTGCATTCTTGTGTGCAAACACAGCGCATGTTGTTCTTTCATAGATGGTCCTTCAATGTGGGCGTCTGTCACGAGCGAGTCTCCTCTGGAGCCCAATTACAGCAGCATCGAGCAGCTCTTCTGTCTGCCGCCGGCCGAAGCCAAAGACAAGAGCCCCGCCGCGCCGCTCAAGAAAGAGCCCAAGGAGGTGAGAGATCCTTCAGAGGACGACTCCACACTGAACTAATGAAAGAGACGCAGAGCACGACTTGATTTTGTCCTTGGGAATAGATGAACAGGTAATTGATTGAGGACGTCAGCTGAAAGGGAAAGTTGTTTCAGAGCTCATTTCTTTAGAATATAGAGCCTTATGATTTCTATTATGCAGTCATCAATCATTTTGGATGAATAAATCAAATGTAGGGCTGTACAATGAATCAAAAAAGACTATTTAAAAATGAATGTAGTTCTCAAAGTAATAATAATTTATTACCACTGTTTTTATATAAGTTTGTATCAGATCATAAATCCTGAAAACGTTAAATGCACAAAGAAATTCTGAAAAAGAAAAATAAAGCATTTCATAGGGCTCTATTACCGTAAAAAAAAAAAAAAAGTTGTTAGTTTTATGAATTCAATTAATTAGACATGTTTTTGATTATTTTATAAATTATTAACCCATTAAAATGGAATCCAGAAAAATGAAAACAAAAAGCAAGGAATTTTGGGGTAAAAAACTGAATTTGATAAAAAAAAAAAAAAAAATGCATTTCATAGAAATGAAAAATTTCATTTTGTCAAACATTTAATAAATTGTTAAATTGCAGAAGTCTCATGATTACAATTAATTACACATGCCTTTTTTATTTATTTAACCTTTAAAACGGAGTCTTGAAAAATGTAAATAGAAAAAAAGAATCCTGAAAAATTACAATGGGGGAAAAACAATTTGGAAAAGAATAAAAATGGAATTTGTGAAAAAATAAAATGTATTTCATTGGAATGTAAAAATGTAATTTGTTAAACTCTTAATAAATCATTAAATTGTATGAGTCCTATGGTTACAATTAATTACACATTCTTTTTGATTACAAAAATTTTAATTTAACCAGAAAAATTGTAATGGAAAAAACAAGTCGTGAAAAAAACCCAGAATTTTTTTGGGGAAAAAAAAAAAAACGGAATTTGTGAAAAATTAAAACCGATTTCATAGGGCCTGTAGTATGACATCACTGATGAATAAGTCACAAATAAACATTTTCTCCTATTTCTCAGATTTCCTTCATTGACCCCAAGAAGAATTTGAACCTAAATATCTTTCTGAAGCGGTTTAAGTGGTAAGATCAGACGTTTTGGATTGGTTAGTTTATGTGATGAGACGTTTAAGACGTTTAAGATTATTTGTTTGTTTCTCTCACAAACAGCTCAAATGAAGAGTTTGTGTCAATGGTGCAGAAAGGAGATTGTTCGAAATTCGACGTCGAGTCCCTGAAACAGCTTCTGAAACTGCTTCCAGAAAAACAAGAGGTACTTCCCTGTAAAATATGATCATTTGCAAGTATCTCACATTCATAGACCTTGATGCAAATGAAGACAAAGCTCACAATCAGTGTTTTCTGTCATTTGTGACACTGGAGCACAAAACCTGTCATAAGGGTCAATTTTTTGAAATTGAGATTTATGCATCATCTGAAGCTGAATAAATAAGCTTTCCATTGATGTATGGTTTGTTAGGATAGGATAATATTTGGCTGAGATACAACTATTTGAAAATCTGGAATCTGAGGGTGCAAAAAAATCTAAATATTGAGAAAATCATCTTTAAAGTTGTTCAAATGAAGTTCTTGGCAATGCATATTACTAATCAAAAATGAAGTTTT